CCCGCCCGTCTTGCTAGCGCAGTCGTGGTTCATATGGTGTTGTAGTTGCTCAACTGGAGCTACCTTAACTTTCGCTTTCGCACCAAGACAACAACGCGACTCTTCTCGATCAAGGTCCGTGGGATGACCGCACAGCCCACGATCAACAAAACCTGGGGCCATCGGGGTTCATTCTAGACGAACGATGTACAGGATTAGATCGTTCATCAGTTGGATTCGCCACCATAGCACACAACAAAGCAATCGAGTCATCAAAACAAGTTGTGATGTACCGCGATTAAATCGGGCATGAATTCAATGTTTGGCGCCAATATTTGTAAAATCGTATGAAAACGATAGACATGGATTATTTGGGGTATCGATGTTTGAGTCAATTTTTCACGATGATTATTGCCCCAAATTATGCCGGACAATTAGTCAAACGTCCAATCTCGAGTTCAAATTTTTCCACACGAATGCAAATTTCTCTGTCGAAATGAGACACAGAAAAAATATTTGTCCACCGTATGAAAACTTTGGACACCCACTACTGTACCTTACAAACGACACAAACAAATCCAGAAATAGATGGTGAAGAAAAAGGTCAAGAAAACCAAGCCGTCGGTGGCAGACGAAGGCAGCGAAGGCCAGAGCGCGGTACGAGTTGTTGCGGTAACAAGAGTGACCTGGCATGTTGTAGGCAGAGCAGTACGTGCCGCTGGACGTGCCTGACGAGGTGGACGAGTTTGTGACACTCGACATGCGAGTAGGCCCGCCCGTCTTGCTAGCGCAGTCGTGGTTCATATGGTGTTGTAGTTGCTCAACTGGAGCTACCTTAACTTTCGCTTTCGCACCAAGACAACAACGCGACTCTTCTCGATCAAGGTCCGTGGGATGACCGCACAGCCCACGATCAACAAAACCTCACGATTTTATTCCATTTCGACACTTGTGGCTGGCCCGTAGAAAGAGATTGAAAAGCGCCACGGACCGATCACAAACCTCAAGATATGCAAAGAACACTTTGCCGAGGGCAACGAACTCACAGACGACATGTTGACATTGCACGAATACGGCATCGACGGCGGCCTCCAGCATGAAAAAGAAGTGGTGCGTTGGTGGTTGTGTCGGCGCCTCCATGAATGCCTCATGCAAATGGCGGTGTAGGTGAGCTTGATCTACTACGACTTCAAGCCGACCCAGCACGACAACCCGCTGCTCTTGGCTACCGAGCAATACTAGAGTTCCTCGTTGCAAACCCTGCCAGGCAAGGATCCGCCCGACAACTTCCTCACGGGAACGACGTGAGAGGCATCAAATAATGCCACCCATTTCAAGCAGCGACACTACGAGAACGCACATCGTGTCGTTATATACTTACATACGCTTTTGAGTTCTCTCGTGCGTTTGAACGTGCGAAATGCGTCGTCGTGAGGTGTCGCTGACGCTCACATGAACGGTCGCCATGTCATATTTTCACATCCGTGTACCAGCAAACACACAACGCCAGTCATGGCTGGGAACCCAGTGCGTTGGAGGCGATGTCTGTTCGGGAACTGCAGCTACTCCGGGGCGTCGGCGCCTGAACCCAGCTATTTAGAGGTCACCAGTCAAACACTTCTCGGGCGCATATCGACCGCGCCGCCCCTCGCCACAAACGATTTTACGCCATCATCCAAACTAAATCCTGCCTACATTTGGTGCTACCTAAAAGAAGCCTGTCACAACCCCATTCTTCCGGCGTGGGGTCACGAGGGCCTTGACGTGGGCACTGCACCATCCCCACGGGGGCAATTCATGCCCCGCGACATCGTGGATAAATCGTACAACATCCAAGTGTCCATTCGCAGCCGCCACATCGACCAGTATCTTGCTCGAACTCGGAGACTTTGTCCGTCGACATCTCCCATTCACGTGCAAAAATTTGACCACGTCGACGTGGCCATGCCGCGCCGCATACACCATGGCTTCCTCGACGTTTCCTTCGGTGCGGTGTTGGACGAGCCAGTGAACAATGTCCAAGTAACCAGCCGCCGCCGCCATGTTGAGAGCCTCTTTCGTGCATCCTTCGACGCGGTGGGCGCTCAGGAATTTGACAATATCGAGATGGCCCTCTTTGGCTGCGTTGCGAATGGCGTTTGTTGTGCAGCCTTCGGTCCGGGCGTGGTGGAGGAAGACTAGCACATCAAAATGCCCGCCTAGCGCGGCCAAGTCCATCGCTGCAGTCGTCCCGCCCTCGGGTCGGTGGCTATGCAGGAACTGGACAATGTTCAAGTGACCACTGGCGGCGGCTTTGTCCAGCACATGCACGCTCCATTCGTCGTAGATTTGGTGCGCGTGGACGTACTCGAGCACACTCAAGTGTCCGAATTGGGCCGCCCGCTTGAGGGCCTTGGCAGAGCAAATCACGCGGTAGGTCGAGTAGAGGTGCGCGAGGATGGCGACCTTCCCAGTTTCGGCCAACCCGTCCAGAACGAGCTGTGTGAACATGCGTGGCCATCGATGCGCATACAGATCGACGAATGCGAGGTGGTCGGCGATGTTGTGGGCTTGGTGGGTGTCAAGATGGGCCAGCAGCGCAATCGCCCACGTCACTTCTTTGCCTGCGTCAGCGTTGGAGGGCTTCGTGCGAATAGTGTTGGCAGTCCGGACGGAAGAGCTGGCTTGTGTAAGGGTTTGGAAGAGGCTCCATGCCTTCCCCACAGGCATCGACGTTCCGCCCATGCACATTGGGAGTGTCAGCGCGTACGGGACGCCTCGTTGAAAGGAAAAGATTAGCATCCGAAGCTCGGGCATGTGTAGGAGCGCCAGGTCCGCCATTGCACGATCGGGCTCCCTTTATCAATGGACAGACTGATCTGCGCTCACTGCAGAGCGGTGTCGCTCCAGCCGTGGCTGGTGGCAGATTGCAAATGGAAACTCCCGACGAACATATTGCGACGATAGATGCCACACGCATATAGTGTAGCCAAGTATAAACTGGCACATCGAACGAGCAACCGACCGCGAAACCGACGGATCGCGGGTGGTTACGCCCTTGCCACTAAACTCCGCCGTCACTTGGACTCTGCGCTCCGGCGCTTGTGTTTCAAGAGGGTGGGGTGCGGCATAGCGTACACCGACGGGGAAGACAAAGGAAGCAGGCGCGGCGACGGGGACACAGCCTTCGCATGAACAGCCTGGTCAACTTGTCCAACGTACCTGCTGGGTTGATTGAATGAAGGGCAGCACAACGGATGCTCACGATAGCTTTGGCAGAGACAACACGTTCTCCCCAGCCGCTCACAGACGCATGCATGTCAACCTCAATGCAGTCAACAGCGCCAAGTGCCGTCTCGATGCAATTGTAGGGAGCGCAGGGCATCGATATCTGGTATCGATCGACTGCCAGCCGGTAAAAAATTAAACGTGCCTCGTCCACAACGGCAGTTTGCCTGTCGGCCTGACGTTTGGGCTGTAAATAAACATAAATACTCCTGTAAACGCTGCTTCCTAGAGGCCACACACGCAACTCACGTGGTCGCTTCGCCGCTCGACAAGTACTCGACAATGGCGGTGTGACCCCGTTCGGACGCCGTGTACATGACGTGGTGGTTGAATCGCACAAACGCTTCTTCGTGGGTCGCTTGCATGTACTTGATAATGTTGAGATGGCCTTTCCGCGCGGCCCACACGAGCACTTTCAGCACATTCGATCCACCGTTCAACTCGTGCAGGAACCGCACGATGTCGATGTGCCCCTTCTCCGTCGCGAGCTTGAGTGCCGACTCGATGTCGCACAACGCGGGGAAGTTTGCATGCAAGTATTGCACAATTTCGAGATGGCCGTTCGCGGCGGCTCCGTCGATTGCCGCTGGCGAGCAGCCTTCGTTGCGGTGGATGTGTAGAAAATGGACGAGTTCCATGTGGCCACGTCTGGCGGCGCCATCGAGCGCCGCGACTGTGCAGCCGTCCGTGCGATGCGTGTGGAGGAACTGCACGAGAGACAAGTGACCGTATTGCGCGGCGGCGTCCATAACTTGTGGCGTGAACGAACGGCACCCGGCCGAGTGCAGGAACGCCAGCACACGGAGGTGGCCCTGTTTGGCCAAATACAGCAAGCACGACGACGTGAACACCTCTTGGCGTCGGAATCGATACAGAGTCTTGACAACAGCCAGCGGATCGCATGTTTTCAGACTTGTCGACACCAGCTTGTTGTTTGCATGCAGGTTGCGGCGAGAGTGCGGCCGGCTCGACGACAATCGAAGCGTTAGCATCGCTTCGACGATGAACGCTTCGTTGTGCGGGGGCATGGATGTGTAGTCTTCGACTAGCGCGTGCAGTTTGGCGTCGAGTCCGTCTTGGAATTGACACACCAGTCGCAAGATGCCACGGCACTTGAGCACTTCACGCACGAGGGCTGAATCGAGAGCGGCGTCACGTGGCGACCTAGCTGGAGACGACGCTTGGCGACGGGGAGGGCCGATGGGGGACGAGGCTGGGGACGTGTCCAGATGTGGCTTGGCTAGCATTATGAGCGCGCTGTGGTGGCCCACCTCCATCATGGTGACAGCCGAGACCTGTCGCGACCCTGATGTACCCATGGCAACGACGGGAAAAGTTGCAAAGTGTCCTGCGCGAGCGAACAGGACGCACTTGCGCGTGACGAAAGCGGTCCATGTCGCACAGAATGGGCGGCGGCTCTACCGAAGCGTTCCACTCGTTGAGGCTGGCGGTAAAATCCGATGCTTCCGACTCGAAGAATTGTTTTAAATGCTTTTGAAATAGAATGAACCAGGTCAGAAATATTTCAAATATGTTTGAAAAATATGAAATTAGGTTTCGAAACGGCACGAGGCATTGAGGCGGCAGTTTCCACAGGCCAAGTGATGTTTCAGGCATGGACCTCGCAGCGGCAAAGATTCGGGGTGTCAACGCTAGATTTCGCCCACGCCACGAGCTAGAACCTCCCGCTTTCTCTCCCTCGGGCTGACGTGGCCTGGGAGAGAGAGGGGCGAAGCGCATCGTCCAAGGCAGTGTGCACTCTCGTGGTCGAGATCAGACAGGGCCATGCCAACTGAATCCACGCTGTCTCCAACCTTCACAACTTACGGTCGATGGCAATTCATTTCCCCGCAATACCTGACACGCACGGCCGACCGCGCTATACTGCCTCCGACAGCAGCACGGGTGATTGAGCGCGGCGGCGACGCCCTGGCGTCGGGGCCTTGTCAAAGGGCCGTAATAACGTTTCGCCACGGCGACTTCGTGGTCTTATGGTTCATGGACCGATCTGCATTCCTGACCAGCACTCCAATGGTCCAACCTCGGAACAACTCGAGCCGTCGGCGACCGGCAAAGTGAACGAGGCTGAACGGCACGCCCGTGACCGGTCCACGGACCCGCCGCCCCAGGAAGAGCGAGCTCTGCACTAGGCATTGGCCAGCCTGTCGCTAGGGCCGCCATCGTCGCGCTAGTTGAACTTGTTTTCCTTCAACCTGAACATGTTCACCCCATAAACACAACAGTAGGCCTTCCTCGATGGGCATCACAGTAGTAGTAGTGCACATGCGTTGTTTTCTCTCTGCTGTTGTGACGACAGAGCAACCTCGCCCGGGGGACAGGTTCGCCGAGGCGCTGTGCGTAGACCGGCGACCTCTCCCACGGGTTAGGCCATCCATTCTCCAGGGTTACAGCCACACACCACATGGACGCCAAACAGAAGCCACATCCCCTGCTGACCCATCAAATCAACCCAACCATAGAGACGAGGGCGCCCCCGCATCCCACTTATCACACAACCTTGGACAAGCAGCGTGCACGGACGATAAGGCAGGAGCCATGGACAATCCGACCCCCTCCGTTTTTCCCGTCTTCTCGAGCGCTCTGGACTCACCGAACAACGTGGAAGAGGGCGGCGCAGTTCGTCGCCACCATCACGTGGGGCCTGCATACCGCCGTAGCAAACGCATCCCAGACCCGTGTGGGCGAGATTTCTATCCACTTGAATTGCATGGGATCGTTCGAGTACGATATCTGCTTGTAGCATCTTTCCCACTGCAGTAAAAACGCGCGGTGTCGTTTGAAAAGACGATTGAACATGCAGTCCAATTTAAGTTAAGCACGGCATGTCGTGCCCCAGTTATGTCGGCTTGGGTTGAAAGAACGGCGAGGAGTACAGTTTGGAGGTACTCCCCGACAGAGCAATCGCGTTGCTGTTGAAAGCCCTGGCCACGTGTGAAGGATGGTTGCGTCGGGGCTGTGATCGCGTTTTGGACAGACACTGGTCAATGTGCTCATTCACCAGAAACAAACTCCACACGTCAAAGTGGCAGCCACACACGGGACACGGTTCTCGCGCTTCCGATGATGGGGTAGCGTCGTGGTGGGCGTGTGGTGCAGTGGATGAAAGCTGGCGGGGAACCAATGCAGGGTGCAGCACCCCAGGGAGGCTCAGCTGTCTTACAGACGGGGGCTGCGGTGCTGAATCGTGGTCGGCTGTGGAGGTAGCTGGGATTGGAGAGGCCCATGCCCCCGCAGAAGACGAAGGTGCTGGCTTCAACATAGACATGCGAATGCCCAACAGTCGATAAGTCACCGGCCCGGATGCATCTTTCGCATGCTTCTTCGCCGCCACATTGAATTCCTTGACCAACAATCGGCAAGCTACGTCAAGCATCTCCGAGAGTTGGGAAAGCGCCGACTTGCATGTCCAAGCCCTCGAAGTCACTGCAAACTGCGTTGTCTTGAGCTTGACTGTCAAGCAGTGGCCTTGTAGCTGGAGCTACGACAAAAGCCGCGGTAACGAAGCATGCACGGTGTGCCAATGCACGAATCGCACGATTCCAGCACCGTGGATGGCAACCCAGACAACAACTCGTTCGAACATAATGCAACGAAACCCCACCCAGATCCACCGAGGGACGCACGAAACAAGCGAGCTCATGATGCAGTACGTACCTCGTTGAGATCGCTGTGGACGTGCTTGACAAGGACTTGGCACCGTTCCAAGAGTTCTTGCAAGCTGCTAGTTGCACGAAACGTGGTTTCTCGGCTAAAACGCGCATCTCGCGTGAGAACTAACGTCATGGAAGCATTCCTTCCATGCTAGACAAACGACAACGACGCTGAAAGCACAGTCAAGTCCAAATCACCTGTCGCACCTGGCACTCTTTTGGCACGGTCGGTCGCCATCGTCATCGTGGGAAGGGGACGCCGACGCGCCGAGACTTAGCTGCAGCAGCCACTGCGCTGACATTTCCGAAAACACATGAAAGATGTCGTAGCGCCGGGCAAAGAGGTCGCCACCCGTCGCAACATTCAGCACTTGGGCCAACAGCTTCTCCTTGACTTTGCCGATCCCGCCAAACTTGCGCACGGGCAAGTGATGGACGAACTTGACGATTGCATCACGGTTGAATGGGAGGACATATTGGCCATTGGGCTTGTTGATGTCGGAGCATACCTGAAGTCCACACCGACGGTCGATTGAGGCATTCAAGGCAGTGCCATGGAGAAACTCACACGCGGGGACAACGTGGAAAGGGGGCAGACTTACCTTGGCGAGTTTTGGGATCGACGCGATTCCAGCACTCGCGGTGAGCTGCGTGGCTTGGTGGATACGGCGTCGGAGCTCCTGCACCACAGCACCCGCCTTTTCCTCCATGGAAGTATTTTCGTCAAAGGCATATGCATGCCCATTCGGTTCTACCACAAACACATTGCCTAGTTGCATGGAGCACTGCGTTGGAATCGCAAATGAAAATGTCGTGGCATGAATTTGGAGATGTCGCCGCAGTGCCATGGCTCGTTTGTCGACCGTACCTGCAGTTGCGCGGGGCGTCGACGACGCTTCTGTCGATACCGATCCCCTAGAGCATTTCGCGTCGGGGTCGCACACTGAAGAACCACCCAACGTGGTGGTAGATACGGAAGCAATGTAGTTTGTGATGTCCAAATATGCTTCATCGAGACTGCCAGCGACGAAATGCGGATCGAACTCTCGAAAGATGTCGCGCGTTTGGTGGGCTACCGCCTAAACACAGCGACAATGTAAATTGAAACCACCATGATACGCTTGAGATGCCGTTTGAGCTGGAGCACCTCGTATTTTGAAAAGTGCGGTGGCACTAACACGAGCGACGGACACAGCTTCTTGGCTATAAAGCCAGGCATCGCTGCGCGCACTCCAAACTTTCGAGCGGCGTAGTTGGCTGTGCAGATCATGCCCATCCCACCGACCGCCATCGGAACGTGAGCCAAGGAAGGGTTGTCTCGCATTTCAACCGCTGCAAAGAACATGTCCATGTCCACAACCTATGCAACGCAATTGTCATCACATCAGTGGGGTAGTATGGGACGTACGACGTGCACGCGAGAAAAGTCGCGACTGGCTTCCAATGCCGCCACGCGTTGGTCAACATCGGCAACTAGATTATGCCGCCGCTTCACACCCAGTTGAGTGCGCATCGCTGCAATCTTTTTGTCCGTTTGCACGTCCTTGTCGACTGAGTTCTTGAAGAACGCCGAGTCTTTCGACAGATCGTAGATCGTCTGGTTGATCGTAGAGCGGTCGATATCATCCATCCCAGCCTTTGGGTTGGAAAACACGAACAAGTGCTCCTTGGACGAGTCCATGGCGGCGCCCCGCGGCCTCCGGCGTCGAGCGATCAATGCAAAATGGAGCCAATTGCCAACTCATGCCCAGTCGACGAACGCTTTTGATTGGTTCCGGGTTCACATTTACCGCGTTGCGATTGGTTCTCCAAGGTCACACACTATTTCAAATGGACGCATTTAGTGTGGAGACTGATCCTATCAAAATCGATATTTCAAGGTGTTGGCTGTTGCGTACTTCGATCATCAACACACACGAAGAGAGCAATCGAGTCGTCGTTGGCGGGCTCATACAGTGTGGCAAAGTGTTCGACGGCGAAGTTGTTAGTTTATCGGGTTTGTCGTGCAGGCGCTGTCGATTGCGGTGCGTCCGGAAGGCGAAAAAGTCTTTGACATTCGGGCCAATCAGAGCGAGGCACGATGAAATTAGCCAATGGTAACCCGGGATTTTTTCAAACAACAAAATACAACTTTCGAGCGCCGTGCAGCGCGCCGCACTGTCGGGGACACAGTATTTGGATGCCGCACGCCTGGGAGTGGCGTGGCGGGTTAAAGGACAGCGGGCGCAGCAAAATGGACAAAGTGGGCTTTCTGCCCGGACGATTGGCAGCGCGCCCATTTGTTGTTGACATTCCAACGCCAATCACCTCGAAACTAGGATTCGGTTTCACCGTAACCGACTGTAACAGACATGACACCAGTGCCAGGCAGAGGTGACGAACTGTTTGCTATCCGTTTGTTTACTGCAGTAGCAACGTGACAGTGATCCTCCACTAGGCAGACTTTCACGCAGCATCGGATCCGCTAGGATAGCTTACGCATGAAGGCGTGGATGGCCGACGCCGATGTGGTCGTGGGCCGCACGGGGCGCGAGGAGGTCGGACGGGGCAGCTGCATACACATCGCAGCCACAGGGCATGCCGTCAGAATGCTCGACGTGCGACTTGAGGTTGACGAAGCCCGTGGCGTTGTTGGTGATACTAGCCGATGCCCACGGGTCGAAGTTGACGCTGACAAACACCACGTTCTCGACGTCGATGGTCCAACCGCCATCCTTTAGGTTGGTGGTGGCGATCCCAGCATCGGTGTCGGCGCGAGAAATCCCATACGCCTGCCAATACAACTCTGACAGCGTCATGTTAACGTCGTCGCCAGGCAGGCAACAACTAAGTTGGATGTCATTGAACATGTCTGCGCAAGGCCAATGTCACTGTGGAGCTCGTATGTCCACTGGTGGCCCTTCCCCGACGTGTACCTGACGGGGCGGACTCACTTGCCGAGGTAGTTCGAGTCGGTGCACTCTGGGTACCAGAACCCGGTGAACGCAGCAAGCGTCTCGATGCGCTTGGTGTCGGGGACGGTGAATCACTGGCACGTCGCGGAGGTGGATGAAAAGCCGTCCTCTTCGGCCGTGATACAGACCTACAGCGCTTCTGAAACCCCAACTCCGTTGCAACATGCCATGTCAGGTCAAGATGCAGTAATCGGCGGGTTATGTACGACGGAAAGTTTTGTTGAGAAATCAAAATTTTGTGCAAATCTAGCTTCGTGACACCTGCAGCGCGCTGACTAACCTTGTTCACTATCGACTACCCAACAGCGTGAGTTGCCTGCCCATTTGAAGGTGCGGTCGGCGTTTTTGCATCCACTCTATGTATTGGACGAGGTCGATGTGTGATTCCTCTTCACGAAGCCACAGCCCGTGATCCGCAGAGGAAGCGGGCAAAAGTAACAACGTCGTATGTCCATTCAGTACATTTCGCATTGATTTCTCGGCTAGTCAAACAGGGAAGGCGGTGGTAGTTGTGCATCTTGGGACGTGGCAGTGCCCCGATTCAATTCGTGGCAGACGTACTCGAGTTTACCGCAGATCGCGAGCATGTTGGCTTCCGTGTGCTGCATCCACTGCTCAAACTTGTGCAGGTCGTCCACCTCGGACCGAAATCGTTTGTACTCGGCTCTCCACCGAATCGTCTTTTGATGGAACATCACTTGGTTTTTCCCCAAAGCCAAGCACTCGTCTTCAACACGTCGTTGAGTTGCCAAAATGCCATCCAGCCTCGCATCTACGTGTCGACCGATATCCTGCTCAAGGCATGCAATGCTTGCTTGCAGCGCTTTGTGCGCCTGCGCTCGGGCCTTGCGCTGGCGCTCCACGAGCCCGTCCACCTCGGTCAAGAACGCATTGCCCAACATGACGAAGTGCCGCGATGCGATTGGCTGACGAAACAGCCACCAAGGAATGACCATCACTCGGTATTGTCCACGCAGGTTATTCGTACGAGTCCAAGACCATCATTCTGTCTTCCAGGAACCACGTCATCGGGGTGGGGGGTCCGACGAGATTGGTTTTGCCACCCCAGAGGCTAGTCCAGCGCAAACTAGGATCGCCGGCAGGTTTGACTTGTGTCCCGCAGCGTGCTTGAACGTTGCTGATTGGAGCGCATTGTGGGAAAGTGTTCGATCGGGTGAAGGCTCGACTTTGTGTTGTCGTCCAGCGAATTTGTACTTTGGACACGGATGGAGGCAAACACGTAACCGATTGTCCACTGGTGTAACTGCTGATCGAAACGTTGCGATGCCAGCCTGGCATGGCGAAGGCGACTCGGTGCTAGTCGCCGTACTCTCTAGTTCGTTCGACGTTGGCGATGAAGCTGGCACGATATACGATGCCATTGCGTTTAGCAGGTTACAATGTCCGCAGCGTTGCTCGAGTCGACTCGACACGGCGCTAGGGATTCATGTGGAAGAATGGCATTTTCAGCACCGACATGGACACCAGGATCGCCGACACCAACCCAAGAGTACAGACGCGTGACTATCCACGTCGAGAAGGTCGTATCTGTCAATCGCAACACGACGCATGGGCTGCGAAGGACGTCCGCCATCCATGCCGCTGTCAAATTCACACGTCACGTGCATCGAGTGACCGTCCGATGGCCGCGACTTGCACCCGTCGGCCATCGACGCATGCTTGCGCAACCAAACCGCATCCTGCGCTCGTACAAGCAATAGTAGAGTCTGCAAAGGTTGGTAGCCTCGAATGCGGCCTTCAATGCTGGTAAACAGAACCACAGTCGCTACAAACTGTCCAGCAGTGCTACTTTATACTCTGATGCGTTCGGCACTCTGGTTCGGCGCAATTGTGCAGTCCCTCAATCCGTGCGCTCGCATGGATACTGCGTTGGATGTGCAGTCGGACCATGTCGATCGTCGCCCTCGCGAATGGATGCCACGACGGGCCGCAAGGCATCGTAAAACTCGTGCTATGTACGCACAGAAAGCATCGGAGCTCGGCCAGGCGCATGCTTTCAGCCCGCAACATCGTTGTCTACAGCGCACACCCCACTCGACGATGGATGGACTAAGCGTTCCAGAGTCCCTCTAGAATCCAATACACTTGGATATTCAATATATAATGACATTGAAAAAAGCACGGTTGTAAGACAACGAACCTCTTCGTTTCGATGCGCGCTGTCGCGTTTGAAGTTGTTCTTGGTTGAGATTGTCGGGCACGCCACAAATTTGTCTTCTGACTGTTCGATCGGATTCTGCCGCTCTTCCGAATCAATTGAACGAGACGGAAATGCACAGAGCATGGTCATCGGTGTGCATGCCGCCTTGGCCAAGGACTCGAGTGTGGCCTGGATTATGCCCGTCGTCTCGTTCTCGTCATTGTCCGTCGCATCGTCGACGGGGTGGTGTAGTCCTTGCAGTTCCAGAGATTGCACCAGCACCCTCGGCATAAGCGCCTGGAACCAAACGTGTGCAACCAGGCTACAGTGGTCGTGTGCCACGCCTGCCCGTCTCTCGGCCAAAACAAGAAGCGGGGCTCGGTTTACGATAGCACGATAGGCATCCCATACAAATTTCAAGTCTACGGTCCCGACGACGTCGGTGGGAAAGGTTGCGATGTCGCCATGCGCCATTTTGCGATTGCGCCGCCTCCAACTACTCCCCCCCATGGACGTCCTGTGGAATGCAATGCTCCAGCCATGGTGGTGGGGCTCCATGACCGTGTCGGCCGGCGTCGTCGCGGTGACCGTCGGCATTGCGCTCGGGGTGGTTCAGTGGTGGATGTACCATCCATTGCGCAACGTTCTCCCTGGTCCGCGCCCGACCAGCTTCCTCTTGGGCAACGCGTAAGTTGGCACACGTGCGCGATCGATTCACGACTTGTCGATCTAGGCTCGAAACGCGAGGCAGCATTGCATCGTGGCACACGACGACCGCTTACCCTGAGCCGTACCTGTCGTGGTTGGTGCAGTACGGGCCGGCTGTGTACTACCGCGAGCTCTTCTCGCATACCGTCATGCTGTCGGACCCGAAAGCTCTGCAGCACGTGTTAGTGACGCATGCCTCAAAGTACCCCCGCCATCCTATCATTCGAGCGTACTTGTCGGTCCGTTGTGCATCATGCGCACAGGGTCGTCATGTGGTGTTTGATGGAGTAGGATATCGTGCTGGGCAAAGGCCTGGTGAGTTCCGAGGGGGCGCGGCACGACGCGCATCGCAAACTCTTGAACCCACACTTTACCGCCGCCCAGGTCAAGTCGTTTGTGCCCGTGTTCGAGCAGCTCACGAGTCGTTGCTGCACGTCCGTCCTGGAACCCGCGGCAGCCTCGAACAAGCGCCTGAACATGGCAGTGGGTGAGTTTTAATCTCCATGGCCAATCGATCGAGTGGCGTCCCGGTCTTTCACACCCGTATGTGTAGTGCTCCAAGAGCTCACTCTCGGCATCATTGGGCGTGTGGCGTTTGGGTTCGACTTTTACGCGCACCCGGAAGCCCTCGCAGCGTACCAGAAACTACAGATGTCACCGAGCCCGCTCGTTCTCATTGGGATGTTCTCGGTGCCGGGCTTCATGCACTTGCCACTGCCGTCGCTTCGCCAGCGCCGCGCGGCAAAGGCGATCCTGGCCAACGTCATTGCAGACGTGATGAAGCACAAACTGTCGTCGAGTGCGTGCTCCAAAACAGATCAAACCACGACGCCTGGTTCCCGCGACTTGCTCGATTTGATTTTGGCCGACTCGGCCACCTCCCACAGCGACGCCCTGACGCATACCATGACATTTATGACAGCGGGCCACGAAACAACGAGCACTGCACTGGCTTGGCTCATGGTAGAGTGCGCCAGGCGGCCGCACGTCGTAGCCAAAATACGAAGCGAGGTGCGCACCCTCCTCGACGCGCCCAGCCCCCACACGACGAATCCGCTCGCGACGTGGGAAGGCGTGCATTCGCTCAAGTACACGACTGCCGTCATCAACGAGACCATGCGCTTCCACCCGGTGTTCTTCCAGCTCATGCGGCGGCTGGTGGACGCGGACGATGACGTGCCCATGCTCGACGGCAGCTCCCTCTTCCTGCCAAAGGTACTGGCCAGTGCGTGCACCCGTCGTCACCGCGTGGTGTAGGGCACATCGATCAACATCCTGACGTCCGCCATTCATTTGAACCCACAAACGTGGGCAAATCCAACGGAATTTGTTCCAGAGCGGTTTCTGGAAGGGTCGCCCGAATGGAACGCCGATGCGGCACGGCGAGGCGGCAAGTCCCACTCGTTTGTGCACATGCCGTTCAGCATGGGCAGCAAAAACTGCATCGGCCAGCGGTTCGCGATGGCTGAAATGGTTGTCGTCATCGCGACGTTTCTCCGACACTTTGACTTTGCCCTGACCGACCATGCCAACACGCGCGACAGGTACAATGCCATGACGGTCGTGCCTGCGTTCTTGGAGATGTCGGTGACTCGAGTGAGCGCCGCCGCCGCTCATCGTTAGGCTCGATATGCTACGAAATGGACGAATGTGATCATCATCTTGGGTTTATTCATGTCGTTCATGCCTGTCGAAAGCTGTCGGTCGCGATGCCTCGTTCCGGCTGTGTTGACAGCACAGATAGTAGCCTCCGACCATCGCGATGGCTCGTGCTCGTTGTCGTCACGCACTTCGAAACCAATTTGCTGTCAAAGCAGCGTCCCGCCAACCTTGTGAACAAGACGGGCGTATCCATCGACGTCAAGTTCCAGGCTAACCAAGGCCATCGCGAAGCCACACACAGACACAGCTCGTCAAACTTATGCTCGATGCATCAGTCCAAAACCAACGCCATCGCGTCGCCCTGACAAAGCTTACATCCTATCCGCGATCGCGTGGTGCTCAAATCTCCACAAATTCAGGAGATCCATCCTCTATCTGGGCACATATCGCCTTGGTAAATTTGCAAATCGATCGCTCCACAGATCGGTTGCCAAAAGCTTGCCTTCGTGCTGCGTTAAACGGCTGTCG